TTCCAGACTGTTTCTTGCCACTCAGCATATCACCTTATTTTAGATTCAGATTTCAAAAGCGAGGCCAATACAAATGGATGCTACACAGCTCTAAAGAAGATGGGATAAAATAATAATTTAATCTGCTTTTAATATTATATACCTGCACATGATTGCAGATGCCATAGAATTTGGCTCTATACAAGTCTAGTTGTGCTAGTACTGAAACCAAAATCGCACATCTAAATATCCATGAGCTTTGTGGATATCTGAATTCAATTCTAGATCTGAACTCTGAGGCTTCATTCCACAAATGTGACACACACACACACGCACACACACACACAAAATCAAACAGTAAGGATAAGCCTGGGGTTGAAGAGCAAACTGCATTATTTTACATGTTGCCAATATGCAAAGAAATGTACAATAGGTGAGCAGATTTATTTCCCATGCTAGAAAGCTTTTTCTTCCAAAGGCCGTAATACCTGGTTTTGGTGAGTATTGTCTACTCCTTCAGCAGCAGTGAAATTAATTCTCAGAAAACAGTTAATATGTGACTATGGAACTAAGTTCAGCAGCCATTCTTTAAATGCCACTTTTTGAAAAGAAATCAGCTGAGTTAGTTTAATGGGAAAATTATTCACCTGTTTGGCTTTACTGTTATTTAAACCCTCACCATCTGTCATTTTAAACATCTTTCCAAGATAACTACAAGACAAATATCTTGGAAATATACATCAACCTTTTCTAATTGACTAGTTCTACCAGTGCTTGTCATCCATTTACCAAATTAGACCATACAAGAAAGCACTGAAAACATTGCAGTATTTCAAACTAGCACACATCTGAGGTGTGGTAATTTTGCTCTCCATTTTCATATCCACAAAATGAACACTATGGCTTACAGATGGTTTCAAAAATGTTATACTGAATCCTCGATTTTAAAAATTAAGCTTGTTTATACTTTTTCATAAGGTTCTGCATAGTTCAATTTTCTTGCCGGTGTTTTTCCATAAGTAACCAGCTAGTTCCTTTGTGAGTCCATAGAAAGGACTGTTCTCTGGAATTTCAGAACTTATTCTCTACCCAACGACTCACAAGTACAGTATGTGAAAATACGTAATATTACTGCACCTGAGTTTATTTAAACTAGGTTGGTATTGATCTTGGAATTTAATGAGGAGTGTTAGTTTAAATCTGGAGTATCCTACATCACAGAAAGGTATTTTAGGGAAAAATGTAATGAAAACCTTAAATTTTAAAAAACAGTGAAATTCTACAGAGAAGGATTTATGCTACTTATCAAAGTCATTTTGCTTGTATGGTATATGCTGTGATATCAAATTCCACCTCTAGCCATAAGCATCAGCAGCCCACCCCCAATTACACACACAGACCAATACTGACAATGACCAGCCTGATCTTTGATGGAAGAAACTTTAGCAATGGATAAGACATTAGCTTTGATTTTTCTCATCATATATTGTAATATATTGCATATCTGATTTCTGCCGCAGTCAACCACAACAATTGTTCTGTACAGTACACTGTTCTTACAATAAATAGATTGCTACAAGACACTTCTAATATATTCATATGTGAAGGCGCTGCGAAGGGAGGAATAAGAAATGAAAAAAATGTATGCGTCAGCTATTCAATAGTGCACAGGCTTTTCAAAGCAGTTCCATCTTTCAATTTAGTTCCACTTTCCTGACCCTCCTTTGTTCTTATTTCAAATTTTCTATCAAATGAGGTGGGAATTCATTAATACCTGGCTGCCTATAATATCTACCTATAATATCAGGTTTTATTATGTAGTGCCATGCATCATAGCATGTAAACCTCTTTCTCTGTCACATACTGATTTACCCTACTAGCCATTTGACTCTGGCAATCTGAATTTAAATCGGTATTTAGTAATGTGAATAAAAAAACCCTGGTGATTGCATCTTAGTACGGATTCTAACAGCTTCCTCAGGCGTAGAACGCATCTATTTTGATTGTTTTCCTTCAGACACTTGTACATGCAGATCACTAACAACCCTAAGCCAAATATCCAGACAACAGCTGAGACTACTATTGATATAAACAGGATAGTATAGTAAGTCTTTTAAACTGTCCCAGACCTTTCTTTTAGCTACAGATTTCAGACTCTACTTGAGTCTCGTGTACAGAATTTAAAGTTATAAACAATAAGTAGGGACATTTGGTGGTGAAAAATATAAACTCATCTTAGCTACAATGAAATGCAGGTGGTCAGGTGGATTTTTTAAATGGAACAGAACGAATGGAACTTCTCAACAATTGATAAGCTATCACTATAAATCTTGGGGATCAATAATTGTGCTTTATTGATATAATATATATAATATAATTTTCAAATTTGCTTACACTAGTTTTTATAATTTTTATATCAGATAAACTGAAGAAGCTGCATGTTATTCAACATATTCAACTGTTAGAGCATTTAGAGACACATCAAAATGTTTCTGGTATAATTCTACATCTTTTCTACAATTAGAGCTGAGTGAAAGTTTTCTGGCAAATAATAAATTCAGCCTCTGAACCAAAAAAACCCCACATTTATTCATTCAAACTCTGTCTGTAATACAGAAAAAATCAAGACTTCTTGAATAATCAGTACACTGTCATCTTTTTAAAATTAGTGTCTTATCACATTAGTATTTTTACTCATATAGACACGGAAATCATGATCTCTAGTCTGATCTGCACATTGCCTTTTCTTTTCACTGATTACTGTATACGTTAAAGCTCCTGTAATAAAAACTGAATGGTCTAAGAACTAAATACTGCTTATCCAATTAGAGTTCATCTGCAGAATGGTATATTTGATCTATTCATACTAGGCGAGTCCAAGAGGGCTATTGCTGTTACTTCTAGCTGATTTCCACCTCCGTCATAAATAGAATAGGACAATGGCTCACATGTCCCTGTATTAATTATATTCACAAAGTTAATAACGAGTATTATACAGCAGAACCTTTCGGCAATAAAATGTGAAATAATCTATTCTTAGCCCCAAATGTGTTTTCTTGGAAAATGGTGCATTGACTATGAATTCACCAAGATGCTAGTTCTTTTATTACTTGCATGTCAACACCTTGGCTGTGTCTAGACTGGCAAGTTTTTCCGCAAAATCATCTGCTTTTGTGGAAAAACTTGCCAGCTGTCTACACTGGCCGCTTGAATTTCCGCAAGAACACTGACGATCTCATGTAAGATCGTCAGTGTTCTTGCAGAAATACTATGCTGCTCCCGTTCGGGCAAAAGCCCTCTTGCGCAAATCATTTGCGCAAGAGGGCCAGTGTAGACAGCACAGTATTGTTTTGCGCAAAAAAGCCCCAATGGCTAAAATGGCGATCGGGGTTTTTTTGCGCAAAAGCGTGTCTAGATTGACATGTACGCTTTTCCGCAAAAAGTGCTTTTGCGGAAAAGCGTCTGTGCCAATCTAGATGCTCTTTTCCGAAAATGCTTTTAACAGAAAACTTTTCCGTTAAAAGCATGTCCGGAAAATCATGCCAGTGTAGACGTAGCCTTTCTGTGATCACAAGTCAAATCTCCAAGGGTATGTCTACACTACCCCGCTAGTTCGAACTAGCGGGGTAATGTATGCATACCGAACTTGCTAATGAAGCCCGGGATTTGAATTTCCCGGGCTTCATTAGCATAAAG